TAGATTCTGGTTATCAACCCTTTATCGGATTTATAACATGCAAAAATTTTCTCCCATTCTGTAGGTTGTCTGTTTGCTCTTGTGACTGTTTCTTTGGCTGTGCAGAAGCTTTTTAATTTGGTCAGGTCCCATTTATTTATTTTAGTTGTTGCTGTGATTGCCTTTGGGGTCTTCTTCATCGGTGCTGCTTTTTGAAGCTGTCAAACTGTACATGTCTTTATCAAAGCCCACATGACACTATATGTGCAGGCATTGGTTCTCTTCTTCCTCTCCAGTTTAAGCTTTTTTTCTTTACTTTTTTTTTTTTTTTTTTTGAGACACTGAGACAGAGTGTTGCTCTGTCGCCCAGGCTAGAGTGCAGCGGTGTCATTAAAGCTCATTGCAACCTCAACTCCTGGGCTCAAGCAATCCTCTGGCTTCAGCCTCCTGAGTAGCTGGGATTACAGGTGTGTGCCACCATGCCCAGCTAATTTTTCTATTTTTTTGTAGAGACAGTGTCTCACTATATTGCTCAGGCTGGTCTCAAACTCCTGGCCTCAAGCAGTCCTCCTGCCAGACACACTATTTTCCACTTCTATATTTTGTCCCACTGGCAGGTCTTCAGGGGTAATAACAGACACGGAGGTGGCATCTCCTATGATAACAATGCCTTCTTTTGGAAGACCTTCTGAAAGACCTGCCTGAGGCTATTTTACAGTTAACTTTTTTTTAATGAATAGAAGGAGTACACTCTAAAATAATGATAAAAAGTATAGTATAGTAGATACTATACTATGCATAAATGAGTAGCATAATTCATTACCATTATCAAGTATTATGTATTGTACATAATTGTGTGTGCTATACTTCTATATGACCAGTAATACAATAAGTTTGTTTATACCAGCATCACCATAAACACATGATTAATGCATTGTACTGTGACATTACAATGGCTATGACATCACAAGGCAATAGGAATTTTTCATCTCCTTATAATCTTACGGGACCACTGTTGTATATGCAGTCCATCGTTGACTTAAATGTCATTATGTGGTGCATGACTGTAGTATGTCTAGCTTTTAAGTGTCTCCTGTACTCTTAGAATTGAGTTTTATTATTATAAGGGACCTTAGTAATAATTTAGTTCAACTCTGTTAATATTTTATAGATGGAAAAATTGGGGTTCAAAGAGGGTAAATGACTTGCCCAGGGTTCTCTAGCTTGTTAGCAAATCTAGGAACTAGAATCCTAGTTTTCCAACTCAGTCTAAGGCTCTTCCCACACTCCGCCACACCATCTTCCCTTCAGTATCATCCTATGGTGGCCTTCTGTCATAGCAAGCCCCTTATGGTAACTCCATTTCTAACAATTTTATCTCCCCCAGTGGCTGGTCCCTGTTTACTGTTCTGCTAGCTCATAGGCACTGGCATATAGTCAAAACGGGGAATTACCTTGTTTTATAACCCTCAGAGGCTAGTTTTTAACCTGGAAGAGGCTTAACA